GGCCCCGGCCCGCTCCCCAGCCCACCGCGCAATTAGCGTTCGCGCGCCCTGAGCGCGCCGCTGCCGACGCCGAGCCCCAGGGCAGCGATGGGCAACACCGTGCACAGGACCCTCCCAGGTACGCCGGGGAGCCCTGCCCGGGAGGCGGGCGCTGGAGTTCTCCGCTCCCTGGGGGACCGCGGGGGGACCTCCGGACGGCCACCCCCGTCTTGGCGCCCTCGGCGTCCAGCGGGCAGGAGCCTCTGCCTCCTGGACCCCATATCCGCGTGCGCCGGGCGGCCGGGCTTCGCGCTCCGGGAGGGCGGGCACCGCGTCCTGGTTACCTTGGGGACCCCTGTCCATGTTCTCCTGGCTTTGGCCAGGTGAGCGAAGGGGCCGCTGGGGCGATGCTGGGCGTCCCCTCGCCTTTGTTCCAGGCTGAGGGCGCTGACGAGGGAGCTTGGGGCGCCCTGGGGGGGGATGGGGTGACTGGAGCCGGGCTCCCCTGGGCTTCCGACGGCCAGAGCCGACCGTTGTGTGCAGACTGCAGCTGCTGAGAGTGGGGGTGCCCTCAGGGGTACCCCAGTTTACAGCCACCCAGCGCCCCCGCGGCACGAGGGGCCTCGGTTTGGCCACGTTCCCACGCGCACCCCCGGCTGCGCCCCCCTCTGGTGTCCGCTCAACTAGGGACTCCAGCCCCTCGGAGCAGCCGCTGCAGAACGCATCGCCCCCTGGTTAAAACCACCGCGGAACTGCGGGGCCCAGAGTAAGGGGGTGCAGGGGGTGGGAGCGGAGGCAGTGGAGGCCTCGCTACGAAACACCTGGTAACGTGGGAACAGGTCAGCGCGCGGAGGCTCCGTGCCTGGCGCTTTGCATACTCGCGCGTCTGCAAAGGGTATGCAAGGAAGCTTCGTGGGAAGGCTGTGCCTCCCAGCTTTACAGAGGAAGAAACTGAGGCTCAGAGGAAGGGAAACTACTTGCCCAAGGTCACACCACTGGCACGGGGAGAGCCTGGCTTGGGACCCCAGTCTGTCTGCCAGCCCTTCTCCCATCCCCCAAGTCTTTAGAATAAGTTCATTTTGGTCGAAGGCGGGGCATTTGTACCATCCGTGGTTCAGAAGGTGAGAGATGTGCGTGTGTAAAGTACAAAAGCACAGCTCAGTGGGAAGCACAGCTGTGGGTAAATTCAGCGAGAGGCTTGAGGAGAGGGACATAGAACCGCATCTCTGCTCCAGCACTCCCACAGAGCCCTCCCTCCTAGGTGTTATCAAACAGTAATTCTTTCTTCCCAGGGAGGGGACTGAAATGGACCGAGCTGCGCTAGGGATTCCCAGGGCTGGTTTATGGAGGGGCCAGCTCCTCGTTTATAAGCCTCTGGGCAGCTTTCCTGCCACTGCACTCACACCTCCAAATTCTCAGAGAGGGGAAGTGGCCAGTGAGCGGCAGGGTTGGGTTTCGGATCCAGGTCTGCTTATGGGAGGGTGGCCTCCACCTCCTACTGACAGGGCTATTGCCCCACCCACCCAGTCAGGGATGTTGGCAAATACGGAGGCATCTCCCAGCCAAAAAGACACTGCGTGGAGGCACAGGCCCCTTTTTAGGATTTCTTAATTAAGAAATGTTAATGCTGTTCTAGTAAGAAGTCATTCTGCCACCTGTGGGTCAATTTTGGGTGAGTGAAGCCACAGACACTGCCAGGTGAGCCAAATATAGCCGGAGATTTCTGTAGTCTCCATCCAGCTGGGCCATAGCTCTGCACTGTGGACTATTCAAACTCTCCACAAGGGCTGAAGCTTGCACTGAGTCTGAGGAAGGGACAGAACTGGAATTCCTGNGGGAGATTTCTGTAGTCTCCATCCAGCTGGGCCGTGGCTCTGCACTGGGCCACCCTGGGCTGCGAGCCTCGGTTGGGTGGCTCGCCCCCTGCGGTAGCTAAGTGTGGACTATTCAAACTCTCCACACGGGCTGAAGCTTGCACTGAGTCTGAGGAAGGGACAGAACTGGAATTCCTGAGCCACACCAGGTGGCAGCGGCCAGGAATATGAAGGGCCATTTATTGTTTCCCAGCCTGCCTGTGACTAGTTTCTCACATATACTCTGCCATTTTTTACACGGCTGTGCCCAGTCTGTGATGCTCCCCACACCTGGAATACCCTTTCTTGTCTAGTCCAACCTTCATAATCCAGCTTAGCTGTCACCTCCTCCAGGAAGCCTTTCCTGACCACCCACAGCCGATCCCATCCTTCGCTCTGCTACCTAGATCCCTTTATAGGCCTCTGCTTGTACATCTGACCGCGTCGCATTGTGGTCACCCATTTCCGCGACTCACCCTGGGGCTGTGTGAGGACAGGAGCCAAGTCTTCATCATCTTGTATCACTGGTTGCCCAGCCCGGAACCTGGTGCCTAGCAGGGGCTCAAACACCGGCAGTGGAGCTCGGTTGCCTGCACCTGAGGCTGAAAGAACCCTTGGCTCAGTCTTGCCCTGTGGAAATCTTTGTGTTTCATTCTCAGGAAAAGGGCACATGCGTGGGGTTTCTTCTACGGGGCTTGAAATAGAGAGCTGGCATTTGCCGAGCACCTGGATTCCGTGCCAGGCGTCCTGCATATGTGGCTTCATTTACATGCCAAGCTTGCTTCTCCTTAAGGATCCTGCACTTGCTGAACCCTCTGCCTGCAACCTTCTCCCGCACCTCCGCATGGCTCCCCCCTGCTTCCTTCAGGTCTCCACTCCAATGCAGGGCCTGCCATTGTCCCTGTCCCCAGCACTCCCCTCTCCCTCCACCCTGCTTTGTGTTTCTCTTTAGCCTGGGCCACCATGTGCCACGCTGTGTGTATAGTTGGCTGTTTATTGTCTAAAGAGGGGGGTTTTGTCTGTTTTTTCACTGCTATATGCTCAGCACTTGGAGCAGTGGCTAGTACATAGTAGATGGCCGGTAAGTATTTGCTGAATGAATGAATGCATTTAGCTCTTGCAACAGCCCTGTGAGGTAGGAATTATCATCTCCATCTTACCGGTAAGGAAACCACAGCTCACACGACTCATCCGGTTGACAGACGAGGATTGGAATCCGGGTTTATTTAGCTCCAAAGTCCTGAGTTCTTCCTCCAACATGTGATCCATGGTTCAAATGACGTTTATGGGTGCCCCACAGTCCGCCAGGCATGCTGTCATGTACAATAAGGAAACGAAGCACTAAAGAAAGGAATGTCACTTCTGATCGATTGTGGGGATGTCCTTTGGCAGCCCTCGCGGAGAGCGTCGGCAATTCAGATGAACATCCTATGGATAGAAGCGGGCGGGGCTCGGCACAGGAACTCACATTTGCTGAACTCCTGCTGTGTGCTCGACCTAGTCTCTTTCTGGCTGCAATCCTGCAAAGTAAAGTGCCCGGCTCCATTTTACAGATGAAGAGACTGAGGCACAGAGAGCTTAAGACACTTGCTCTAAGTCACAGTTAGGCAGTGGCGAAGCTGAGCTCAGAAGGCCCAGGTCTGCCTTATTGATAATTCCACGTGGGCCTTTTCTCTGGACTCCACTAGCCTCCTCCTGGGTTTTGTAAGGGGAAAAGTGTAAGTGCGTGGGGGCCAGGGGAGGGCAGAACTCCTAGGGGGAGAAGGGGAGGTTGAGGAGGAGGAGGGGCTTTTCCCCTCGTCTTCTCACATTTCAGGCCTCGCGCCTCTGGGGCTCACCGTGGTTCTGGTTGAAGTAGAGCTGAATTCAAACTGCCCGTTGGGCTGGTTAATCATTAAGTCCGCCCACGCTTGACCACATCAGCCACCTTTTCAGTGTTGGCTCCATCACCAGGCCTCCTGGAGCTTTGGAGCGAGGGAAGTGTGTTAACCCTGCTCTGTGCCAAGCCCAGATTGTCTATTTTAAATCCTAACCCTTTCGAGGGGCTCTGTTTATCCCCATCTTACAGGGAGGCAAATGGAGGCTCAGAGGTGAAGAACAAAGGCGCTCCCTGGAGGCGGAGCCAGCCCCCTTCCTAGTCTAGATGGAGCCCTGCTCCTCCCTGGGCCGCTCGGGCGCCATCCCCGCAGAGCTTGGGAAAGGACAGCATGGGTGCCGGCCCACGTGGGTCAGGTCTGCTCCCTGGTCGTGGGTGGTGATGCTCCGAGGGCTCGGCAGTCACTCTTTTCCCTGGGTCTGGACTTTCTCAGCCCTTGGAAAGACAGATGCCTTTGTGCCCCTCTTTAGAGCCATCGCAATGGCCCTATGGGTGACCCAACCCGTGGCGTTCTCTCCGCGCCCCTCTCCTTGGGCCAGTCACAGTGTAAAGTTGGGCTGGGCTCGCCTGCCGTCCCGCCCCGGCTGCCCTCCTCCCACCCGCTGAGCAGGAGGCCCGAGCTGAGCCTCAGTGATTGCGGGGTGTCCCGCAGTCACCCACAGGGCCGTCAGCATGCGGCTGGGGGCCTGATGCGCCAAGGCCCCTGTGAGGATGCTGGGACGGGTGGGCTGGAGGGTGGCATGGTCTGGCCCATCAGTGGGAGTGAGGGAGAGGGAATGGGTCTGTCCAGTGCATAGGACAAGTGGAGAAGGTGCCCATGGAGACTCTGGAACCAGAAGGGACAAGGCCTGTCCTCCATTTTTACCCCCTTCCTGCTCTGCCTCTGGTCCCTTTACTCTCCCTCCTGGGAGCCCCGGAGCTATGACAATAGGGGAAGGCTCCCTGGAGGAGGTGACATCTGAAGGAAAGTTCACCTGGATGTCTGCCTCCCCTGAATATCACCTCTTTCTATCTTCCTTTAGGGTCTTCCTATGGCTCTGTCACCCTAAGGTCACCCTGATCTCCACTTAAGTGCCGCATGCCCAGGCTGGGGTGACCCTGTATTTTCCTGAGTGTGCACCTTCATTTATCTGACCTCTATGGGGCACCTAGCGTGTGCCAGGCACTGGAGGTTCAGCGGTGGGAGGAACAGAACGCTCCAGTAGAACAGGACAAGCAGTTGATTAGATCACTGGAGGGCACAGTGCTGCCGCCCTGTGCCTTAGAGAGGGGGAAGTTGGTGTCCAATGCCCCAAACAAGGCCTGGCCACCAGACTAAGTGACCTATCTACTGGGGGTCATGCACAACCAGCTTTAAAAAAAGTCTGTAATGACATAGAATAGAGTAAAAAATAAAACATTGAGCACATT